TATGTACACACTAATTGCAGGCGGAGTTGTGGTCCTTGCAGAGCACGTTGGATAGTCCATGTGCTCAAGATGTGGTAGCTCTGTAAATGGGGCTTCCCTGGGAGAGAAGAGTTGAATGTAGAATTTGGCCCAGTATGTGAGCACAGGCTGCATTGAGGGTTAGCTTTGTGCAATGAAACAAATGAATTAGCTGTGGCCAAAACTATGCATTTTTTCTCTATGTATCAGCACAGCATTAAAAATTACTGCTGTTGTCAAAGTGCAACAAAGCTGAGATCTCACCTTTAGAGAATCAGCTATGATACTCACCGAGAATTGGGGAGGGCAGGAAAGGAGGGAGTTGTTCCATAGTAATAGCTTCCCCACATGTTTTCCCAGACCCCGGAGTTTCACACAAAGCAGAACAAATCTCACCCTTAGCAGTTCTGTTCAGTTCCATACAGCTGTGTGCTGCAGGTGGTGCCCTAAAAATAAGTTCGTTTATTTTGCAGCACTCCAGGCTGCAAAGCTGCACTTAAGAATGAAATAGATTCTCCTCCCTCACATTGTCCCTTCTTCATTCTGAACCCCTCTCTTTTTTTAACTTGCTGGAAGAAGATGGTAAGACGTAGTGATAAAGTGATAGCAGTGTGGCTCAGTCTCAAAAGAACCAAATGGGAGCTATTGGTATGGAGCAAAGAGTAAAAACTGACAAGCATGGTCTGTGGCACTGAGATTTTGGTGGTGTACCACTTCAGAGAGGCAACTACCACAATAATTGAGTGAAAAATCAGTGGCGTTTTTTCAAAATAGATTTCCATAAACATGAAAAAAAAAAAATCAAACAGCAGCTGAGCAAGATGTAATGCTCTGACATGGGAATGGCTACAAGACAGACATAAGTGTGCATTACGTGGCCTTTTTTTTTATACCTGTGACACAAGGACTTATTTACTGATAGGCTCTACAGAGGCCTTAGTCTTCCACCAGCATGACCCAACGCACTATGTGCTCCCTGTCATGGGACAAAGGAGCAGTTGTGGCTGTTTTGCAGCCCCTGTTATCCCTGTGGGTTATTCCAGCTCTGCTTTGCATACATAAATGCTAAATACCCAAATTGGGATAATCTTTGTTTTATCAGAGTATTTTCTTGCACACATTAGTTCTCAAATAATTTTTCCCCATTTTGAAGATTTTTCTAAACCACAATCATTTAGCTGGTCAAAGTATAGAGACCACCAAACTGAATTTTCTGTTATGTCTTCGGTGTGAGCTAAACTAGCAATCTTCTCAAGTTGTTTGCCTATCTTCAGCAAAATCTACTCCTCTGGAGAAGCTGGCAAAATATCTGTGCATCATCACATCTGTCTCTCTTTAGTCTCTACGGCCAGTATTATGCAATGGACACCACCACACACTGGGGCCTCTCCTGACCTTTGGGAAGCAACTGTACCTTCTAGTTGCTTTAATTACCACTTTGTTTAAGCAATAAGAGAAATTAAAATTCTCCAAAAGTTCCCTCTTGAAAAACCTATAATCTCTGTTAATTGGCACAAAATTAGCAGCAGCATTTATATGGTTCACAATCTAGTGCTATTTGTTTCTAGGACACATTCCTTTGGGAAGAGAAGGTCTCTTGGAGACTATGAGTATTCTGCACCTCCTCAGCAGAGTATTTGTCTGCAATCCTTGAAATATTCCACAGCCCACCTTGAGACTTGCTTTTGAGAAAATATAAACCATGGGAGTTTTATAGCTTTTATCTTAGCTGTCATATTCTTTCCACTAAGTAATCCACAGCAAATATCACATCTGTGTGAAGCCTAACCTTCTGTGGCTGGATTCCTTGTGAGCTTACTGGCAAGCTGTACAAAATACACTCAGTATAATGTTTTCAAAGACTGATATAAGTGATCCTCAATGAAGCTGAATTCCTTTGTAACTTTTTATCTGTAGGCAGTAGAAAACATCCTTAAAAACATACTGCAGTGCCACCAGTCTGTGAAAAAGCCAAGATCAACATGACCTTGATCACTGTCACAAACATACAGAAATACAAATAGAAAACAAGCAACCGATTTGTAGGTTGCAATTTATAGTTTTATAGTTAAAATACAAGATCCACTTACGTGCCCATAAAGGAAAATTGAAAGGAAAGATTAATTTCTTTTTACTAACTGGAGATAAATCTGATCTAAAGCTTGGGTTTGTTGAAAGCTAGTTTGCTGAAAACCAAACAATATCTGCTCTTCTAACTTTGTGTTATATGTCACTGAGCAGTAACAGGTAATTCCCCTGTTTTTCACCACATATAATATGATAGTCAATTTCTGCTAGAATTTCTATTAGAAAAAGAACTGCATGCCCATAATTGGAAATGAGAAAATGATGTAAACAGTAAAGTTGAAAGCACCAGGTTTGGAAAATTGACACATACTTATACTGTGTAGCTCTTTACCTATGATAATCACATTTACAGTAGCATGAATGGAAATATAAAACCAGCTTTAGTTGGCTACAACTAACAGATTACCAATGGTTTGTTATTCTGAACCATTCCCCTGGCTTGCAAAGAATGACCTTATCTAGAAACACAGCTCTATTTAGGCACAGACACACAAAAAATTTGGTTGCATTGAAAGAGAATTTAGCTTGAACTATATATTCCTTGAGTTTTTTGTTCATTATTCATTATGTACAAAAAAATAAGGCAGAAAAATAAGCCTGGATATCTCCTTTGGAGGGCTTGAGGGTAGAAAAACTCTACAGATGGACCTGGACAGGCTGGATCAATGTGCCAAGGCCAATTATATCAACAAGGCTGGGTTCCAGGTCCCTCACTTGGGTGACAACAATCCCATGCAATGTTACAGGCTTGGGGAAGAGTGACTGGAAAGATGTCTGGCAGAAAAGGACCTGGGGGTACTGGTTGACAGCCAGACAAATATGAGCTGGCAGTATGCCCAGGTGGCCAAAAGGGTCAACAGCATCCTGGCTTGTATCAGAAATAGTGTGGCCAGCAGGACCAGGGGAGTGATCGTCCCCTGTAATCGGCACTGGTGAGGCCGCACATCAAATGCTGTGTCCAGTTTTGGGCCCCTCACCACAAGACAGACACTGAGGTGCTGGAGCGTGTTCAAAGAAGAGCACTGAGTCTAGTGAAGGGTCTAGAACACAAGTCTTATGAGGAGTGTCTGAGGGAACTGGTGTTGTGTAGCTGGAAGAGAAGGAGGCTCAGGGGAGACCTTATCATTCTCTACAACTACCTGCAGGGAGGTTGTAGCCAGGTGGGTGTCTCTGTCTTCTTCCATGTAACAAGTGATAGGACAAGAGGAAATGGACTCAAGTTGCACCAGGGGAGGTTTAGACTGGATATTAAGAAAAATTTCTAAGGATTGTCAAGCACTGGAACAGGCTTCCCAGGGAAGTGGTTGAGTCATCATCTCTGGAGGTATTTAAAAGACATGTAGATGTGGCACTTAGGGACATGGTTTAGTGGTGGACTTGGCAGCCTTAGGTTTATTCTTGGACTCAATGATCTTAAGGGTCTTTTCCAGCCAAGATGATTCTATGATTCTATGAGTTAAGCTTGAGTGATAACAATTGCTTGTAAATAAAATTGTAAACCTATTTTAACCTTATTTACTTATTCACACTGATTTTCTTGTACTTTTTCTTTGTCTCTTTTGCACCAGTTATAGTTTGTCAAAATTGAAGGTGTGAACTATCTGGAGAAAGGGATGGTTCTGTCTTCTAGATCTATCTAATGCCTGTCTTGCTACCTACTTGGTCAGGGTCCGTTTGCTCTGCTACAAGCTGAGGAACATGGAGGAGACCTGGTATGGCTCCACTGAAGGAAGATAGCTGGACTTTCAGGTAAATCAGCCACCAAACTTTTACACACAGGGTCGCCACAGAGATGTATTGACACAGAGATATATTGTGCTGAACTCATCTGGGAGTTGGCCATTTAAAGCTAGTCTGGGGAACAGATAGATGGAAAAACTGCTCATTTTTTTTGGTAGGTGAGGGCCACATCATATATTACGGACTGTCCAACTACCTTACATTAACTTCTGGATCTGACCAACCAGATTTCATCTCTCTTTTGGCAGTATGGTCCCTCTTTGGACAAAATATTGGAATCTCTTGAACAGCAAAATTATATAGAAGGAGTCACGTACCCAGGAATTGGTCCAATTTTATATGTATAGTAACAGTTTTATTTGCAGTCCTATATATCTCCACATGGGCATAAATTTGTACGTATCACTAGAGCAAACATAAAAATGAAGATTGTCATTCAGTGTAATTAATTCACTGTTTATATCATCTTTTCACCTAGGTCAGAGACAACACAAGGCAAAGTGATTAGCACAGGTAAATATGATTGAAAAACCTATAAATTTCCCCCACAACAAACTGTTTTCATTCTTTATATAATTTCTGTAGTGTAGCAGTAGATTCTTGTTCTCCTAAAAAAGATTTAAGATTTCTGGTTTTGATTTTTATACAAGTATAATATTTTGTTCTTTGGGAAGAACCTTTTATATTCTCCTCCAGTGCATATTGTTTAATGTGGTTAAAGAAAAATTGATCAGTTTTGAGTCCTGTGAAATGATCAGTGAATCTGTTTCTACTGTTGAAAATTTCTCCTTCATTTTGCCTTTTGTACTCAATTTGGCTTTCACAGCAATAGCTGTAACTTCTTATTGTGTCACAACTTATATCCTATAGTGTAATTTGAATGTAACCTGCTATAAATGATTTGTGGCATGGTCAATGGTCAAAATGGAGTTCAGGAAAACAGTGTGTCATGTCAACAGTTCTCACAGCAATAAACAGGTATGTTGGAGCTTTTCGTGTACAGGTGTCTTGAACTAGCTGCAAGACACTAGAGTTTCATAACAAAATTAACACTTGTGAATGAATGCCACAATACTCTGCTATTCTGGTAATGATGTTCTGCAAGAAGTAGTATAGAAAAGGTGGTGGAAGTGAAGCTATCTGTAAACACTTACTGCAAGGAAGATCTGAAGAGAACTGTGAGCCACTTCTATGTACTGATATTCAAGAAAACACCCGGAGACTGTGATGTAACGATGATCCTCTGGTGCCCAGTCTGGGGCTGGGGTTACTGAGGTCACGGTGCAGCCTGGCCCATTCTCCATCCACCAAGAACGATGCATTGAGATATTAAAGGTCAGAATGAGATCTGTTTCCTGCAAAAGAACAAGTGAAGAATTAATGTGCTGGGACAGTACTCTGGTATGAAATGCTCCAGCAAGAGATTTCACAGAATGCATAAAGAAGCAAAGAGCAGCGATAAAACTGCACTGTCACATGAAAGTTAGTGGAGCTTGCCTGCAGAAAGCACAAGTAACTGTACCTTGGCAGACAGAACTGCTTTGGAGAAGAAGAATAATCTTGCAAGCCAGGATCTGTTCCTAGACATTATGGCATCCTAGGCAATAGCAGCCATACATTGTCCATTTTCCTGTGGAAACCATAAGGACTGATGGATGTGCACATTTACACAGCAACGCTCCTCTCATCATTTCCTAGAAATACAGCCCATACTTTGGTGTTGTGATGTACCAAAGTATAAAGGAGTCCTCAGGAACCAAGACTTCATAGACTTTAATATGTGAGTCAGATGTGTGGGCAAGGAGTTTTGCCTCATGAACCCTGTGAAGCAGGCCTGTGGTAGGTCTACTGAAATATTGGAGAAGATGTAAAAAACTGGATTCTGTATGTTTGCTTCCAAGCAAAACATCTTTGTAATGCCTCTATCAGATTTCTAACTTCCTAGGAGTGTGTAAGGGAACAGTTGATGAGTGTTGCCTTGCCTAAACACTGCTTAGCTTGTTAAAAAGGAGGGACAGGGGCCTGCAACCTTTAGCACCCGTACAGCTAGTGCAGTGGAGTAACTAGTCAGCTGTGTTTCCCATTAAGATTGCATTTATAAATAGTTCATAAAGGATTAATAAATGATTAATATACATCATAAACAATACTACGGATATGACTTTCATAAATTATACTTGGTTGCACATTACTTGAGGGTGATATACGTAGTTATAACAAAACTATGGACTTTGTGGATTCTGTAACAGCCTACAGTGTTTACCAGCCCTTTATAAATAATTTATAAGCATAACCTCATTGTAAAGTGTGACTAGCTAGTCTGTGTGCACATGTGCTCAGTCATGCAAGAAAAATTGCTTTTAAGTAATGTCTTTGCAGAGCCAAACTCTCCCCACACCTAACTTACATTTTTTTCAGCCTGTTGATGACATTAATAAATAAGATCTCATAAAGATTTTAAAATGTAACTATTTAATTAGGTTTACCCTGCCAAAAGGAATAGAATGCTATTTTGTAACAGATATGTTGTGTCCACAATTCCTTCATTTCAAAACAGTAATTTTTTCAGTCCCACTTATTTTCCCTTTTTGCACTAACCCATGCAAAGGTAACTCCAACCAGAGAGGTTTTGAATAATGTCATGACTGACATGTCAATCGATCCATGATTAGAGTTGATATTGTACTGTAGCTGTTTTTTCTTTAAGCTGTAGTTCTTGTCTAAAAGCGCTGAAATTTAAAAAAAAAAAAAATCAATTACTACCCTGCATAAGCACACCCAGCTATCAGATGTCAGGAAGGACCATAAATATCTTTGTGATGAATAATTACCCTGCATTCTCAACACAGCTCAATCCAGCAAATAGGATGTATGAGAAAATGTATGATTCTTCACAAGAATTTAGCCATGCAACTAACGTCAAGCATTTGAAGGTTATCAAAGCAACAGTGAACATTTATATAAACTGTACAAATGTGCCAAAATTAGATATATTTACCTATGGCTAGAAGTCTTTACCCCCAAACAAACTTCTTTCTCTGGACCCTTCCCTACCAAAGCTGCAGATGCTGGAAAGTGTCTACCAGATGTTTCTTGGAAATGGACATTTTCACCTTACATCCAAGCCAGAAGACTATTTTCCTTCCTGGAGTCAGGGCTGTTATAGCCCTTCAGTAGCACACTGGCCTTCTCACCTGATATGAGAAGTTGAAGAATAGGTATCTTTGGAGTAACTTTTCCTAAAGTAATAGATCTATTCCTGAATGACTAAAATTGGAATCCATCACGTTATTGTCAGAAGACCTTTAAGCTGTTCTAGTTACCATGGAAAATTCTTAACCTCTAGTCTCTTATCAGACACACAGCATGAATGAATAGGGCTCATTGTCTGGCTCTATTTTATAATTTGAAATACCTTCAGAAGAATCCTGATGGACTAAAAATATTTTATAAAGTGCAGACAAGGGATGAAAAATGTATTCCTTGAAAAAGAAAGGGATAAACTGGCTTGCAGGAATTGACTATTTGTTATGTATCTGCCAGATGAAGTTAAAACGGATCAGGAGGAGCTAAACGGAAAAATCAAATGTGGACTCTGTGGTTTGAAGATCACTGCTCTAGAGACAGTTATGTTTGCTTACAAAGGGTGCTGTAATCCAAAACTTTACAGGTTGAAAGTACGTTTCCAAGTTACACAGGAAAAATAATCACACATTAAAATATTTATAATTACATATATAAATAAAATTTCACAAAGTCCATGTTTCTTCCATCTCTGAATTTATCCCCAGATGATTTTCTGAAATAATTTGTTATATTTAGAAAATTCCCTTGCCCTCAAATCAGTTAAGATGAATGATGTGATTAAGACTAAATAATCTTGTTTTGTTCAAGAATAGTTTTTTAGTGCTTACTAGTAAAAAATTACAGAACTTTATCAGATCTATATTCTATTTCTATCTCCACGTGATCACTAAAATTCTGTGTTGTTTCCTCTGCTCATAGAATAGACACAATACCTGTCACAGAAATGTTATATTCCTTAAGTTTTTATAACAGTAAAAACAAATATGCCCTACTGAAATCCCCAACTTCAAATCTTAAAGAACTTTGAATAATGTGGTTAAGAAGGATTTCAAGGAGTGTAGCTATTACATATTGAACCACTTAACAAACAAGGTCAACGTCAGAAAACAAAACAATAAACAGACATGAAATCTGGTTCTGGTAAGATTAGACATCATCCATGGCTCAGGTCAAACTTGGCTGGAATAAGAGTGATAATGTAATCAGATTTCAACAAGTCAACATGTAAGTTAGACCCTCTAAATTCCTACCACCAAAATATGTGGGATAAGAGTAGATACAGAAGGAGCCTATTCACTACAAAGTTGGCTGCTGCATAGTTAAATCTTATCAAGTATAAATTGTTATAGGCTTTGAACTTGCCTATAACCTTCAAACCATGTCTCCCTATATGGAACCATATTAGCAGAGCAGTTCCTGTTGCTTAGTAGTGAAGGTCACCCAGCTTATGAAAAACTTTTACTTCTTAGTGAGAAAATTGTTAAGGACTTAAATCTCCTTGTAGAACTGTGTAAGCCAAGGAGGGGATGATGTATCTATCATTAACATCTCTTATACTGAAAACATTTAGAGCTATTTTTGGACAAACTCTGCTTGCTATTTACTTTGTTCACTGTTTGAATATAGTTTTAGTGGACATAGAAAAAGTCTACACTGGAAGATGGGGATTTGCTGTACTCTCCAGTGTATTTGCCGTCTGTTTTCTTTCCAACATCTGTGGCTCAAATATTGTTCAGGGAAATGTAGAGAAATGGTCTGATAAGCCTTGAAGCTATGAAACCTAACAAGAACTGTTGATACATATTGGGCGTGCTGATATGGTGTTGTTCACAGTCTGTATGTCAAGGAAGATTTCATTATCCTAAATTCATCAAACAGCTGCTTCCTTCATGGACACAGAAATACATCTGTATGAGCTTTATTGACGATCACTGTGCTGCTTTTGTAAATCCTGCTGGTGTTTGTAAAGACTGTTAATGAAAATTGGTGCATTAAAGTAGTTTTACTATTCATCAAAGAGGGAAAAAAATAGAGGAAAATATTTAGTAGAATATCTTTTCTGACATTCTTAAGATGTGGTGGTATTTGTAGTGGTCAGGGGGAGTACTGCTGGGTTAGATAAAGGTTGGACTTTGGAGGTCTCAGAGACAAATCTCATAGATTAGAAACTGAGACGTCTTCAGATTAAGTCTGTAATTTTATTTCAGTTTAGTTTGTAAAAAATGTTGAGCTCTGATGTTTTTGTGCCTGTGTTTAATGTGGTAGATAACAACTTTTGCTGGGATTAACTACACAGTACATAACATTTTCTGGTGACAGAACAGGGCAGCAGAAAGCTTTGAAAGAGCTACCAGAAATGAATACAACCTTCTTTGCATTAAGAAACAGCAGGAGGACAGCAGTGTTTGAAATGAAGATAGCTCTGTGTGTATTGTATTACTACTAGAACATATTAGTAAGTGTACTATCTCCATGTAGTAATTACAATATATTATTTCAATTATTTTTATTGGGTGCATCTTAGAGAATCTGATCCCAAACACAGTGCCAAGAGAAAAAAGAGGCAGCAGTGATTAAGGGTGATTCTCTTTGAAAGTCCAGGAGATCTCGCAGACTCAGGGAAATTACATTGTACTGACTTCAATGGTTGTGGCTTGCTGTGTCATGGGAAATAAGTTTCTTCCATTTTTCTAATTAGGAATTGCTGAAACCTGTGCAAACCTGACAAGCTTCTGTACAAGTTTTGTCAAATAAACCCATGTAACCACTTGTTTCATTTTTCAAACTCAAACTAGCAAGAACAGGCTGCTTGGAGACTGAATGATCACACAAGGTTTTGGTGATAAAAGATCACGGTCTGAAAGCATTTGTAGTTCTGGATGCCTTGGATGCACAGAGGCCTCTACAGGCATTTTTTTCTTCTGTTATCTCACTTTTCCACTAAAACTATCTCCCATCAGGCAGTACGATTTTCTCATGCAAGCAGACCTTTTCCTGTCTAATGAAAAAAACTGCCCTCACTGAAGGGACAAAATAGACCTTGGCAGCTGTGCTTTTCTTCTTTTTCTTTCTTTTTTTTTTTTTTTCTTTCTTTTTTTTTTTTTTTTTTCTTTTTTTTTTTTTTCTTTTTCTTTTTCTTTTTCTTTTTCTTTTTCTTTTTCTTTTTCTTTTTCTTTCTTTTCTTTTTCTTTTTCTTTTTCTTTTTTTCTTTCTTTTCTTTTTTCCTTTCCTTTCCTTTCCTTTCCTTTCCTTTCCTTTCCTTTCCTTT